CATGCCCAGCTAATTTTTTGTATTTTTAGTAGAGACGGGGTTTCACCATGTTGACCAGGATGGTCTCGATCTCTTGACCTCGTGATCCATCCGCCTCGGCCTCCCAAAGTGCTGGGATTACAGGCTTGAGCCACCGCGCCCGGCCGAGACTCCATTTAAAAAAAAAAATAGTATTCAAACACAGTTATTTTCACTGTGACACTTCATGGTGGTGATGGATGGATGGTCAGGTGAAGGTAATGCTCTCAAAGATGCTCCTGTGGTATGCATGCATCTTGGTTTCCATTTTGCTTGCAGAATCTTGCACAGATTAGAGTGCTTGGGCCAGGCGGAGTGGCTTACACCTGTAATCCCAGCGCTTTGGAAGGCTGAGGCAGGCAGATCACCTGGGGCTAGGAGTTCAAGAACTAGCCTGGCCAACTTAGTAGAGATGGGATTTAGTAGACAGGGTTTGCAGTGAGCCAAGATCACACCACTGCACTCCAGCCTGGGTGACAGAGTGGACTTTGTCTCCATAAAAAAGCAAAAACAACAACAAAAAAACCACACAAACAAATTACTTGATAAATATCAACAATACCAAAGAATAAATAATTAATTATTAGTAGCTTGGTTATCAGTTCTAATTAATTGAACACCTATCTCTTTTGGATTTCACCTTCTCTCTCTCGCTTACTTTTGGCACAAAAATATCACAAGGCTACCAAATGCTATTATTAAAAAAAAAAAAACTTTCATAAGATTAGTGGTGTAAAAGTCCGAGAAAGAACTTAAATTAGTCAGGTGTGGTGGTACATGCCTGTACTCCCAGCTACTTGGGAGGCTGAGGCAGGAGAACCACTTGAAACCAGGAGGCAGAGGTTGCCGTGATCTGAGAGCGTGCCATTACACTAGCCTAGGCGACAGAGAGGGACTCTGTCTCAAAAAGTAACAATAATAAATAAATAAATAAATAAAACCCAGAAATGTGGAGGAGGAAGGCACAGGGAGCTATTGATATTTTGTCAAAAATATGACAGAATAGTAGAGAGATTAAAGAATTTAGGATTCTTTTTTGTCCTGGATTATACTTTCTAGCCTTTCATTTAAAAATAAATCAGAAATAATAATTTTATGAGTAATTTTAATTATGCTGAATACATTTTTATTTCTACAGTTACAGGAATGCTTTGCTCTTAAAACATTGTATACTACTATACCCATTTTCTTATTTATTTACTTATTTATTTTGAGACAGTGTCTCGCTCTGTCACCTGGGGCTGGAGTAGTGGCACAATCTCAGCTTACTGCAACTTCCCTTCCTGGGTTCAAGCACTTCTCATGCCTCAGCCTCCCGAGTAGCTGGAATTACAGCTGCGCACTACTATGCCTGGCTAATTTTTATATTTTTAGTAGAGAAGGGGTTTTCCCATATTGGCCAGGCTAGTCTCAAACTCCTGGCCTCAAGTGATCCAGCCACCTTGGTCTTGCAAAATGCTAGGATTATAGGCATGAGTCACCACATCCAGCCCTATGCCCATTTTTCTAAAATGCTAGGGCCGGCCTGCCTTCCTTCCTTCCTTCCTTCTTTCTTTTTTTTCTTTTGATGGAGTCTCTCTTTGCCACCCAGGTTGGAGTGCACTGGTGTGATCTTGGCTCACTGCAACCTCTGCCTCCCGGGTTCAAAGTGATTCTCCTGCCTTAGTTTCCCGCGTAGCTGGGACTACAGACATGTGCCACCATGCCTGGCTATTTTTTTTTTTTTTTTTAAATAAAGACGGGGCTTCACCATGTTGGTCAGGCTGGTCTTGAACTCCCAACCTCAGGTGATCCACCCACCTTGGCCTCCAAAGTGCTTGGATTACAGGCGTGAGCCACCACACACTGCCTAATTTTTGTCTTTTTAAAGACAAAAATTTAAAAACCAAAATTTTCTCTCCTCTGTGGTTTCTCCTAACAATAGAAAAAGAAAAAGAAGGAATCTTAAACCTGGTGCCGCTAAATGGAAAACCTTGCAAATCTCCTGATAAAATGACTTGGGGACTCTGGGACAATAAAGGTCTCTTTAACAAATCATAGTGGTCTTTCCCGAAAGCCTGATAGTCAGCAATATCTTACACAAGATTTTAGAAGACTCAGGACAGAGATGCAAACACGTTTCCACTAAGAGAAACGTTGAGCTGTCTAAATGTGTTGCTGGTGCAAGAGGATTTTGTTTTAATGTGATGATTTTGGCATAACAGACTTGATGGGAGTTGTTTGCTCTTTGAAAGCCATTAGGGGAGAACCTACATCTGCTGGTTTTCAGAGATGAAATGGCAAGAAATAACCAAGTTCTTAACATTAAGCCAGTGTAAAAACTCAGCCAAATCAATTTCAGGGTACGAGCTTTTCCTGCAGTGTGGTGAGGCAAGCCTTCTCTGGGAGACCATGGATTTTGAAGAGGCCTACCCAGATCGGGTGTGGGGGCAGAGATAGCTGAGCATGGCCATTCCCCTGTGGGGTCATCACCCGTTCAACCTCAGCTCTGTTGTTGAGTTGCTGTTACTCTGATTTTTACAACAGCACCACTCACACCTGAGTTTTTCTGTTCATTAAGTGGAGGTAATAACATTTGTCTTTTCTGCATGGTACGATGAGAAATGTAAGCTAATGGAAGGTAAGTTTTGAAGTCTTGGCAATCTAAAGGATATTTTTCAGGATTCCTAGAACACATCTCAGAAGAAAATATACATAAACCAAACCAAGTCATCTAGAGCAATGTTAGATAAGATTTATATATCCAAATTAAAAATAAAAAAGAAAAGCAATGATAAAAATTAAATGCTAGTTATTTTTCAAAGTGATACAATTGTAAAATTTCAAGAGAGTATTTTAAGTGTTTTTCACACACCCGGGGCGGAGCGGGGACACCAGCTAGCTACAGAGACAGATCTTAATGTAAGCCAAGAAGAGGAAAATATTTAGTGTGGATTACAAGAGCTATTACAAAATTCTCTAAAGTTATAAAACATAATACAACTTATGTTGGATGTAGAAAAATATTAAATATTTCACAAAAGGCTTTAGAATCATTTTTCTCTATCACCCCTTTCAGAGATCTGATAAGGCAGATTTAAAATTGCAGTCGGTTACAGATGAGGTAACTGAAGTCAAATAGAGGAAAAAATACCATCACGAAAAGAATTCAAACAAGCTTTTGAGTTCTATTTTTCAGTCTCAGGGTATAACAAATGAAATTTGCTTTCAAATTTACAAATTTATTGCAAATTCAATTAAGAGACTAGATATTTAGAACCTGGTTTAGAAATGATTTTAAACGCTATTTTTTTTAAAGAAGCTTCACTTGAAGCACATTATATGTAATGAAGTATTTTGAAAGGGTTCACGTAATAGCAGTTCCCATAAAACTTCAAAAGTTGTCAGCACAATAGGTCTTGTGTGCCTCTTAGTGACTTTAGGACTAAAACAGATCATTATAGCCATTCAAAATTGTCCAACTCGGTGTGGCACATGCCTGTAATCCTAGGACTTTGGGAGGCCAACGCGGGTGGATCACTTGAGGCCAGGAGTTCAAGACCAGCCTGGGCAACATGGTGAAACCCTGTCTCTACTAAAAATACAAAAATCAGCCAGGCATGGTGGCGAATGTCTGCAATCCCAGCTACTCGGGAGACTGAGGTGGGAGGATCGCTTGAAATCGGGAGGCAGAGGTTGCAGTGAGACGAGATGGTGCCATTGTACTCCAGCCTGGGTGACAGAGTGAGTTCTTGTGTCCAAAAAAAAAAAAAAAAATTGTCCAACCACCTTCTAGAACAATGACAGCTATCCAAATGAGGCTTAAGATGAGGTGCAAAGTACTTTGAATCCCTAAATTGGACCAAATTTTGATAATGCTTTTACTGATGTCAAATAAGATGAAGACAAAACACCTAATTTGTTATCAAACTGCTTTGAAACTCACTCTTTAGGAAAATAATTTTAGTGTCCTAAGTCATTTCACATGTGCAAGCATTTCCTGCAGACTGGTTGCCTTTTGCCTTAGACAAATCTCACATGTCTTCATTGATCAAATAATTAACGATGGGTACTTTCTTTTTTTTTTTTTTTTTTTTTTTTTTTTTTTTTTTTTTTTTTTTTTTGAGACGGAGTTTCGCTCTTGTTACCCAGGCTGGAGTGCAATGGCGCGATCTCGGCTCACCGCAACCTCCGCCTCCTGGGTTCAGGCAATTCTCCTGCCTCAGCCTCCTGAGTCGCTGGGATTACAGGCACGCGCCACCATGCCCAGCTAATTTTTTGTATTTTAGTAGAGACGGGGTTTCACCGTGTTGACCAGGATGGTCTCGATCTCTTGACCTCGTGATCCACCCGCCTCGGCCTCCCAAAGTGCTGGGATTACAGGCTTGAGCCACCGCGCCCGGCACGATGGGTACTTTCTATAGAAAATATAACTTCAGGACAGGCAAGCTGGGCACAGTGGCTCACGCCTGTAATTCCAGCACTTTGGGAGGCTGATGAGGACAGATCACGAGGTCAGGAGTTCAAGACCAGCCTGGCCAACGTGGTGAAACCCCGTCTCTACTAAAAATACAAAAATTAGCCGAGCTTGGTGGTGCACACCTGTAGTCCCAGCTACTCAGTAGGCTGAGGCAGGAGAATCACTTAAACCTGGGTGGCGGAGGTTGTGGTAAGCCGAGATCATGCCACTGTACTCCAGCCTGGGCAACAGAGCAAGACTTTGTCTCAAAATAAATAAATAAATAAAGGAAAAAAAGAAAATATAACTTCAGGCCGGGTTCAGTGGCTCACACCTGTAATCCCAGCACTTTGGGAGGCTGATGCAGGCAGATCATGAGATCAGGAGTTCAAGACCAGCCTGACCAACATGCTGAAACCCCATCTCTACTAAAAATACAAAAATTAGCTAGGCGTGGTGGCGGGTGCCTATAATCCCAGCTACTCAGGAGGCTGAGACAAGAAAATCACTTGAACCTGGAAGGCAGAGGTTGCAATGTGCCAAGATCGCACCACTGCACTCCAGCCTGGGTGACAGAGAGAGACTCTGTCTCAAAAAAAAGAAAGAAAAAAAAGAAAAAAAGAACTTCAGCATTTGTAGATGGGAGATACATATGTAGCCCAGGGTACATGAGGATGCCTGCTATGCTTTGCCAACCGCACCTACTTCTCACAAGCTGAAGCCAAGTCTGTGAAGTCAGTGACACTCTCCAAGTGTCCTAAAAAAAAATCCCAGTATACACTGTCCTCCTTCACCAACCCATTCTCTATATTTCATTTTATGCTATATCGACTTGATATCAAGAAAAGAACTGCAAAAATGGTCTTTACCAAAATGGTCTTTTCCACTATTTTTCCCAAGCAAATATTAGAGGTTTTTTTCCAATTAAAACATATGTAGGTTTAAGATAAATAAATGATTGCTTAAATCAATTTCAATCAATAGTTTTCTAGCTCTAGTAAAAAAAAAAGGTTGACCTTAGGATACATAAGTAGTGGGCAAACAGTGAGGAGAAAGTAATGATAACATTCATTGACACTATGTGCCAAGCTTTTGGTAAAATTAACTCATTTAATCCTCACAACTCTAGGACATAGGTACAATTACTATCCTTATTTTGCAAAGAAATTGAGGCACAGAGCAGTTAAGTAACTTGCCCAAGGTCATCCAACAAAGCTTAGCTTAAGTCAATGCAGCAGCCCTCCTGAGCTAGCCTCTTGAAACCAGACACTATTTGTAGACACACACACACACACACACACACACACACACACACACACACAGATGAGTTCTTCAACTCCAAACTAGCACTCTCTTTCCTGTCTGATACTAAGAATGTAACTTCTTCGTGGACATGCAGGGGACAATGTGATCTAAACCCACAAAACACAAGTAGAGACAAAGTTAATATATACTATAGTGCTGGGTGCCCACGCCTGTAATTCCAGCACTTTGGGAGGTCGAGGCAGGAGGATATCTTGAGCCCAGGAAGTAGAGGCTGCTGTGAGCTATGATTATACCACTGCACTCCAGCCTGAATGACAGACTGAGACCCTGTCTCTAAAAAGACGTAGATACAGAGCTGGGCATCATGGTTCACGCCTATAATCCCAGCACTTTGGGAGGACAAGATGGGAGGATTGCTTGAGGCCAGGAGTTCAAGACCGGCCTGGTCAACATAGCAAGAGCCCCATCTCTAAAAAATCAAAATTAAATTATTATTATTATTATTATTTTTTTTTTTTTTGANCCAGGATGGTCTCGATCTCTTGACCTCGTGATCCACCCGCCTCAGCCTCCCAAAGTGCTGGGATTACAGGCTTGAGCCACCGCGCCCAGCCCAAAATTAAATTAAATTAAAGTACAGATACACATATAGAATAGCCCGAGCATTTCCTTGGTCATGAGGAACTGGCCATTGTCTCCCAGAGCAAACGACCCTGGTTCCTTGACAGATTCCCTCCTAATCTCTCCTTACTACACACTCTTAGATATTGAGAAGAAAATGTCAGAGGGGGTGTTTACATTCCAGCACTCTGATTAAAGATGGGTTTATATGGCTATACGCTAATGACATATGGATGACACATCACAGCTGATGGGTCGTAATGGAGCACTCAGAACTTCGGCATCTGATTTAATCATCACCCCCATCTGTCCAGTGAGTTCAGCTTTGTTATACCCAGTGTACAAACAGGCCACATGTCCAGTACACAGAAAAGCAGGGATTCCTGTCTTCTACCACCAAAATGAGCTCTTCCCCTCACCGCAGGACTTGCTGTGACAGAGAAACGAAAGCAAAAACAAAGCCAGGTAACCAAACAATCTGGAGCATCTCCTGTGGCCATATTTTTAACCTGTCCCCATATTCCTCTTCTGAATACATGAAAAACGACTGGCTCTCAATTTATTTGGAAGTTAGCTACATATGGTCTTGGTATACCACCTCTATTATTTTATTGCAACTTAATTTGCATACGTGTTTATTTTTCCTCTCTAGGTAATAAATAACATCGTTCCTCAATTGGTTGTTCCGGCTTTCACCCATCCCACAAGATTCAGGTCATGCATTACTTTTTTTTTGTTTTTTTTTAGTTCATCATCACTAGCGATTAGAGAAATGTAAATCAAAACCATAATGAGATACCATCTCATGTCAGTTAGAATGACAATTATTAAAAAGTTAGGAACCAACAGATGCTGGAGAGGTTGTGGAATAATAGGAACAGTTTTACACTGCCAGTGGCAGTGAAAATTAGTTCAATCATCGTGGAAGACAGTGTGGCGATTCTTCAAGGATCTAGGAATAGAAATACCATTTGACCCAGTGATCCCATTACTGGGTATATACCCAAAGGATTATAAATCACTCTACTA